TCTTGTGTTTATGTCTTAATTTTGAAATGTTTTTTGATTTAAGAATTCAAAACTTATGTTTGAAACAGTCGTATATAATACTAAAATTGCAAAACAATTTTGGGAAAAAATATTCGGTACTCTATTAGTTGGTATTTCCGTAGATACGTACACGTTAATTTGTTGTCAATAGTCCTTGATTAAAGTCAACATTATACAGTACTCTTGTTGACTGTAGTTAACATATCCTCGAATAAGGTAGACAAAGTACTGATATAATTCCACGATGCCAATTTAAAACCCTTAAATTAGAATGTCAAATTTGAAAATCAAATTTTTTTATATATAACTTGCACATTCAATTCAAGCTATACATTTACTGGACGCCATAGTTGAATGAGTGATAATGTCATGATCATTGGAATAATTTTGGAGATATATTTGGTAAACCAACAAATTTTACAGAAAAAACTCTAACCGACTAAAAGTAATAATCAATCAGTCTTTTTATGTTTCATTCTAAACTTAACTAGTCTTGTAAAAAACATCAATCGGAAATCATGTCATGGACTTTCTCTCACTTTGTTACTTCAAAGTTTGGGAAATTTTTTGAAAATATACATCAAGATCTAAAAATGTTGTCATGTTGTTAAAAAGGACGTGGAATATTAAGCATTGGACGTTGACCATCTTGCGTGTTTTATATGAGTTTGCTTTCAAAATAAACGAATCGTCAAGAAACACAAATATCGTTCTCTTATACAATTATAATACTTTCTCTCAACAAAGAAAATTTAGTTCTCATCATGTTTTTTTGGGGGAAAAATTCCTAGAAATATTGTGAAACACTCTCTAATTAAAGTCGTCAAGTAATTTAACCATTTGGATTTTAAGCATTTTTTGTTTAAGATGTGAATGGACCACATCTTGTTTTTCTCCAAGCCCCAAAGAGCATAGACAAGGCTTTGCCAGGAAAGTAAATGGTACAATAGCCAGAGTTTGAGTGCCGAAGAACTAATTTTATGAATCTAAATCAGGATTTAAATCATTCCATCTATAATAGTTTATATTTTTATTTTTCACTAAAAACACATTAAAGGACATAAAAATTATATACTCCATTTTAAAGATTAAAGTGTCGATTTCCGTCTGAGATTTCCTTGGTTAGTAAAAACAATACATTGAGTAACTGTAGCCTATCTTTAATTTTGTACAAGACAACCAAACTTGACCAGTTCAACTTGTCAAAATGAAAAAAAAAAAAATGGAACACGATTCTATGTTAAAGAGTGAGAGAGATACAAAGAAGGCATGGCGTAACATTGCTGACGAAATTTAAGAAGATAAATCTTTGGATAATATAGACTTGGGTTGGGACCCTTTTTTACATCAACCATTACGCAATAATTTCGACAACTTTGTACGTATACATATACGACAATTTGGTTTTTCAATTCAACTTTATCAACACACAACCAAAAATATACGACACGCGAGGTAGGAAGATACGAATTTTACGTGTTTACGTAATGCATAGTGCAAAGAAAAAGAGAAACCAGCAATTAGGTCGAAAAAGATAAAACAATTTCCGAATCTGAGTGTTTAAAATCAAACACGACTCTATCCTTGATTTAGCTAAACTGCATAACCTTTGCTTAGTTAAAAAAAAAAAAATTGGTGCAGTGTGAAAGTATAATCAATAAGCACATGCATGCACGTCGCCATAATTGGTCCCATTTAATCCATATATGTATATATCTTTACTGCATGCATGTGAACATATCTCTGTTTAAAGAAGTAGACATACTTTAAGTTGATATGTCACTATTATTTTCACAATTTAGGAATTTTTTAAATAAAATATTAAATTTGTTAAAACCATAGAACTATTGAGCTTTCAATAAAAGTAACGAGCGAACATACATACAATGCATTTTAAAAGGCAACTGTACATGTTTCGAGATCATCAGAGAGATCATAAAAGATAAAAGCATATAGTTTATGGGCAAACATTGTCGTTGTTTTTTCTTTACAAATGTCCGGTCATTTCTGTTTTTAGTTTTCCTTTTCTTACATTTTTTGGATTAATTTTGATGTTTTTTCTGTATAAATAGAAACAAATAATGCATTTTCTACTTTTTCGTGGGCACAATAATACACTCCTCTTGTATCAAATTAAATGATTTTCTAGAGGTTTTTTTTTGTATTAAATAGATGATTTTTTGAGTTTTCAAGACAAAATTAAATGC